TTAGTAGAACATGCAGAGATCAAACAACAACAACATTTTAAACTCATTTCACATTAAAAGCTCAAAGTCACCTGACACGCAGGACGGTGAAAGATCCATCCTTCATTCCTAGTGCGAGCTGTGAACCGTCATTATTGAAGGAAACACTTCGCACCGATTCTTCCATGTTGCAGCGAGCAAGCAGGGTGTGGTCTGGAAGACTCCACAGTCTGAGACAGAGAGACACCAGACATCAATGTGGTGGCAGATCAACGGTGCAAAAGGTCAAGTGCTGGTCACACTGACCTGACAGAACGATCGTCACTTCCAGTGACAGCAACTGGCTGTTTGGGATGCAGGTCGAGGGCCCACAGCTCTCCCTCACTGTGACCCTGCATCAGCAGAACAGGTTTGTCCCGATCTCGAACCATGACTTCAAAAATCTCACTGTCCTGGGTGCCTGCTAAGATCCGGTCGGCTTTCCAGCAAACACTGCGGATTGAAAGACCTGAAACAGAGGGAGTTTATGACTAGAACTGACTCGTGAAGAACGTGTGAACAAGTATCTCATTGACCTTTCCTGACCTTTGTATCCCTGCTCGGCCTCTCTCAGATCGATCTTGGTGATGGGTTTGAAATCAACATCCCACAATCTGATGCAGCCGTCACGCCCCCCAGTGGCAAATCCTTCGTCACACGAGTGCATGCTGAAGATCCCAGCCTGATGCAAATTACAGAAAAATAAAAAGGAGATTCGTATTAGTCGTGTGCTCGGCTTTTTCTCTCAAATCACTTGAACAATAATGCTGAGCAAAGTTCTACCGTTTGGAAAACAAGCTGTGTAAATGTGGGCTCGGGTCATTTCCTAAACTTTGTCTTTCAGGCCACATGAAGGTGTTTGACCAGAGAAAATGCAAGAGAAGGTTCAGCAAATGAGACAACGTCTTTCAACATTTCTACACCTTGACTCTAATAGTTTTCAGACTAAGTCACACAGTCACACCAAAGGTGTCGGCATGTTACCCCATGTGCAGCCTGCACAGTTCTGATTAGAGTGATCCCTCTCCACACATAGACGTCTCCGTTCAGTGCTCCAGAGTACGTCAGATCATCTTTAGCAGCAGCGACACACAGGATGGTCTGCAGGTCTCCTGTTTTTCCAAAAATCCCTCGTTTTGGTGTTAAGGCATTCCCACAGAGAGTCCAGAACTAGAAAACATTAAAATCAGTAAATACAACTGAAGGAGTGTGTCTGTAAATTGCATTCTGTTAATAAAATAAACAATCAGAATTTGATTTGAAGATTCAAACAGGATGTTTCCTTTCACCTTGATGTGTTTGACTCCACAGCTGACAAGTCTGCTGGACTGGAACGGATCCCAGGTCACGTCAAAGATCTGTAGGAATCAACACTGAGAATGATCTACACTGACGCTGATCAGTTGTTGTTGACATGGTTAACTGAGAATTTATAAGAGGCTGACCAAAACCGTTTATGAAGTTTCTAAGTTTATGAATACCTAAACTTAGAATTTATAAGAGGCTGACCAAAACCGATAAGTTTATGAATACCTAAACTTAAACTGGAATTGAAAAATCCTATCAATTATAAGACTAATCAATTCCCGATCTGATCAATCTTGAAACTGATCTGAATAAATACTATGGCCTACAGTGATTTTATTGATTGATTGATTGATTTTGAGTCCTACTCTGTCTGAGTGACCAGTGGCCGTGGCAATAACTCGCCCTCTCCTCCAGTCCCAAACGCAGATTGTGTTCTTGGCATCCAGACCCACTGACACCAGCCGCTGAGGCAGACAATCAAGAAACATAATTATTATTTATAATCATCAGAAACTCAGCATTAGAGTGCACAAGAGGAGAGGGCTGTGACCTCACCTGTCCGTCAGAGTCAAAGGCAAGACAGGCGATGCCATGTGTGTGCACATCTCTTAGGATGGACGCTGTTTGCATAGCATATGTGTCCCACACGCAGATGTATGGCTCCTTCCCCACCTGACCTGTCGCCACCTGCACTTTGTCAGGATGCAGCGCCAGACTGCAGAGAGAAAGAGATGTTAGAGTCGCTGACATTAGACTGCCAACAGTGTGACATCGCAGCAGCTGAGTTCACCAACAACACCTGCTGTGATCAGAGAACCAGGATTAACATCACAACGTCTTATCTCTGGCTTTTATAAAACGGCAGTGTATATCTGATTGTTTGTATTTGTTGCAGCACCAGTGGAACCAGACTACAGTTTTAATGCTTTTTTCATTTTAGATTTCTAGCTAAAATAGCTTTAGCTTCTAGCTTTTGTGCTGTCTTCCACACACTAACATGAAACAAAAAATGAGCCAAAGAAAGGATGAGCCTAGCTAAAATAGCTTTAGCTTCTAGCTGTTTAGCTGTCTTCCACACACTAACAAAAAATGAGCCAGAGAAAGGATGAGATATGCCGTCACCTGATAATGTCATCGTTGTGTCCTAGGTAGAACTTCTGTGTGTGGTCCCTGGTGTTGTAGACAACACCAACTCCTGCCACAAAGTACACCACCTCTTTTCCAGCGGTGTAGTAAAGGTTGTTACGACACTGGTGACCTCTGTATCCGTGGATCCACTCCAGTCTTAGCTGGCTTCGAGGTGCCGTTTTATCAGACATGTTGACATGAAACTGAACTCAACTTCAAACATCCGCAACAACAACAAAAAAAAAACTAGAGTTTTTGATCCATCAGCTCGACTTATGATGTCACATTAGTCAGTATCAGGCCGGACATCTGACCCTGCCAACGCAAACCATCGCTTCATCACAGTAACTACATTTCCATTGACTCTAGTCTGCAGCGTGTCAGTGGGTTTTAGCATAGTAAAGTAACTTAGTGATAAATAACAAGTGCTGTTTGGAAACCCTTAGAGTCGATAAGGAAATAAAACAGCTCTCGGAATCAAGTCAAGATTCTGATGTAAATTTTGGTAAATCTTCTTTCTTTTAATAACTTAAATAAGCGATTGCAATAAAACAACAAATTGAATGTTTAAAATTATTAAAGTGCTAAAGGTTAAACAGATCACAACAACAATAAAGTCAAGGTTCTGACTTCTTAGTTTATGCTGCTTTTGCGTAGAATCTTGACGTTATTAGTAGACTTTTACAAGTTAAAAACTTTCAACTTTAACAAACATGCCAACGCTACACTTTAGTCCATCAATTTAAATATAAATAATAATAAAAAATAAACTTTCTCTTATGTATATTAAACTTACATGTACAAACTTGAAGGTTGTTATCTGATTTGGAAAATATTCACAGAACAACAACACAAACCTTCACCTTCATCTTCTTTAAAGATATTTTTATATATAGAAGTAAAATAAATAAATAATTTTATTTTGCAATTATATATTTTTAATGATAGGTTTTATTTAACTTTTACTGTGTGTTAATTGTTAATAAAAAGAGAGTCTGTTGACACTGTTAAAAAGTCTGAATTAGAATCGATTTGAATAAAACAAATTATTTTGTTTAGTTATATGCATAAATATTTATATATACTAACATTGATGCATTTCACGAGCATTTTTTTAAACTCGCGTATGCATTTTAAAAATAATGTGCATTACCATTTTTAATTTAAATATATTTTTAATAAAATATCAAGATTTAATTTTCTGCCGTGTCGTTATCTCACTATAATGTAGACATTTAACTAAGAATACAACCGAGCCTATTTTTAGTAGTTTGTTAGCTTGTCAATATATCATGGAAAAATAAATGTACATTATTTTTATTTTACTAACGTGAACATAGTGTTTTACATGATACGTTCAGTAATCGTAACCGGTTTTACTTTGTAAAAAGGCGTTACATTGCCGGGATTGTGCGTAAATGAAGGTCACAGGAAACGGTGCAAACGCGGAACATTAGCGAAATATCCCATGTGGGAGAGGTAAATATTAACATATCTACAGTAAGATTAATACAATTTAAATAATAACGATGTGCAAAGGAAAGGAAAAACCTGACAATTCTCGGTGTAAATCTGAGAAAATCCCGGTTCCCATTTCGTACGCCTGTTCCGTTTAAATCCACAGATTATCATCAGACTTCCGCTAGCAAATGGACCCCCAATTGCACCTGCCGCTGCACCCTAGTAAAATACGTTACAAATGGGGCAAAGACCTGCTGCAGCTCCCTCTTTGTGCCACATTACAAACATAGAGAAGGGATGTCTAAGGAAATGCGGAAAATTACGGGAATATCAGGCATCAACGAACGTGTCAACGTCACGAGAAAATACACCAGCAAATCCGGACTGGCCTTTCCAAACAAAACTCCTTACACGTACTCGCAGCCTCAACGAAAAGTTTATCTTGAAAAAATGGCTTTCGATTTCCGGTTTGTTTCGGACTGTGATACAGTAGCTTCCTTCTTACGCGCAGGTGCAGCTGTAACGCAAGCAGCAGGTTCATGAATCACAGCCTCAGCTCAGCAACCACAGTGCATGACGGGAGGCTGAGTTTTTCAGTGAACCGGGAGGCAAAAGCAAATACTGTTAATACATTATTACACAATATAGTTAATTACCAAACATATACTCAATTAAATCTTAGCTCATATACATTTATTTTTATATTTCACATTAATATTAAAGCTAATTCAATACTGCAATATTAGCTGCAGTTAGCTACAGTTTCAGACTAATCATTCGATGTAGGAATACAAAAGTCAAAATGAGGGAATGTAACGTTCGAAGCATGTGGATGTTACAATTCTAATTTAAAATAAAAAAAAGTTTACATGTATTTTTAAGAATTTCTGCTAACATATTTCTTAAAATACCTTTAGATATTTACCTGATAAGGCTGATGTGCGTCAACACGTTCCCTTGTTTCCTATAGTTTGACAAAATTGCATTGTCAATGTAGTTTAATTTACTTATTTTGTGTATTTCAGCTGATACTAGTGAGGACACAGGGACAGCTAGACTAGTCAGAAACAAGACAAGGACAAACATTTGGAGTGAAAAGTTTAAAGGCTTTAATGACATCACAGAGAGATAGATGGATGGAGAGAGAGAGGAGAGAGAGAAGGGAGAGAGAAGGGGGAGTGGAGAGTGAGAGAGATAGCTTTATAGTCTACAGGTGCAGTTTCATAAATGGGGAGAAGCTTAATGTTCTAATGTGGTTTAAATATTTGTCTCATTCCTATAGATGGCGCTAACTTCCATACATGTTCAGTAGAAGAGTGAAATAGAGAGAGACAGAGCAACACACTGCAAGCAAAGCCACCCTCCTGCCTCTGCAGATGCTTCGCCCCCGGCTGACTGCGCTAACTGCTTTAGCATTAACATCAAAGCTGTAATGTTTATATCACGTCGTCATTGTCATCACTATAATCATCATCCAGAACCTAAAAAAGGAGAATGCAAATGTTGCTTAGCTTCAGGTGTCAAAGCATGCAAGTGATTACATCACAAACCTGCTCACAGATGATTGGCTGATGGCAAGACAAATATAAAATGGTGGAGCATCTGAAAATGACAACTTCAAAAGTAAAAAAAAAACAAAACAAGGTAACAAAAGCACACTTGGTCCAGTTTTTCAGCCTCAGGGGGAAAAAGCAATCTATGGAAAGACAAAAAATAAACAAAGTGGAAATTAAGGATTAACGTGGTCCCTGATGTCAGAGAGAGAGAGAGAGAGAGGTTGTGGTCTTGTTAGACCGTAATGTCTGAAATAGACACCATTAAATTTAACTCTCAAATGACCACGTGAGGGAAGGTATGGAAAGAAAAGTCTTTGAACTTTGGTGAAACTTTCACAACCATGTCGAGCACCGTCACTGGCTGTTAGACCGTGACATCATTGGTGGGGTCACCAACAGGTTTGATTGTTTTCCAGCTGATTTCGATGCACTTTCTTCAACAGCAAACATTGTAGCTTAGCATCGGGAGATGGAGGCATGGCAAGTGGCAAGTTTAATGCAGTAATGCAGGTTCCAGTTAATAGTTTGTGAAGCAGCAATGAAGGAGCCCGAAGACAGCAGCGACAGTTTCACCAAAGTACATATTTTTCTCCTTCTACTGTTTCTTCTTGCTAAACAGACTGAAGCGTTTCTCCTTGTCTTTGTCCTTTTCTCGTTTGCCAGGACTGGACTCGGTGGGAAGTGTGACGACGAGCGGCAGCGTCTGTGCTCGACCAGACGCCGGCGTGCCAGGTTCACTGCTCTGCACCTCGGAACGGTACTCGGTACTAGCATTCAGGACAGCCTGAATCCAGGTGCTCATCTCATCCTGCAGAGGGCGACAGAATGGCAAAAGGGGTTAAAGGTTGTTAAGGGCACATCTATACAATGTATAGAATTATTATAAACAAAACATTAAGAAAAATACACCTAGTAAACGTACCTCATCTTTGGCTTGAAACAAATACTCATTTCCATCAGTTGCTCTGAAAAAAAGATCAACAACAATCTGGTTATTTATTTGATTGAAGAGTAATCTGATTACAGTTTTGTCTTTACAGTAAATGTAGGCTATGAAAAAAGATAAATGAAGAATATATTAACAAATTATTTTTGTACCGTAGCTTAAACACATGTTTCTTCTTTTTGTAGTCGGTGGCCACGTCACACGCGGCGTCTTTCAGGAGCACTGCGGCCTCGTTGTGGTAGGTGGAGCCCTGCGCTGCGGCCTTGCTGTCCTTGTAGAAGCTCATTTCCTGTTTGTTGATGACGCAGTACACGTTGTGCCACGATCTACGAATCAGAGAGCAGAGCTGTGAGCAGATGGTGTGGAGGATGGAAATATCAGCAGTGTGTCAGGACCTCGGTGCTCACCTGTTGGACGCCTTCTTGTGCCCCTCTAACTCGTGTTTGCGGTGCAGCAGTCCCTCAAGCTGTGACGGTGACTGCACCATCTTTGAGGGCAGCGTGGATGACTGGCTTTTTCTGGTGGAGGTCGGAGATGGTGTGGGACTCGGCTCCTTGGAGCTACGCTCTGCCACGCCATTCACCACATCAGCCCCGTCTACGCCCTCCTGCACAGACATGACATCATCATTTGAGGATATTGATCATCCACGTTCAATGTTTCAATTAGCAATTCCACAAAATGCTGTCTTACTGGAGGGGAGTCCTGGTCTGACCCCAGTCCGTTCTGAGCGATGACACTGCCGCTACATTTTAAACACAAGGACAATTAGAATTTACGAATAAAAACAAAGCTCAACCAACCAATTCCAAAGCTCAAACCTGTGCTGCTGAGGTTCTGCCTCCTGTTGAATCAGTGCAGGTTCTGGTGATGGTGGTCTCCTGCGTTGTTCTTCCTCCTCCTGCTGCCGCCGTACCTCCAACAGCTCCATCTACAACACAAACATAGCTCTGATTGGCTGCCACCCTGTGATGTCACAGTCAGAAATGTCAACTAAGTCTCCTTCTTTACTTACCGTTGTCAGCCTTTCGAGGGCGGAGAAGCGCTCCTCCCAGGTGGCGGCTGACTTTTCAAAGGCCTCATGGCGTTTGATGAGCTTCTCCACCTCGTCCACGCTCTGTCCCATCTCTCTGCTGGACAGGTACGGCTCCTGGCCCAACAGCCATGCCTCTGCCACACCCGCATCCCGGGAGAACTGGTGCACCTCCAGGACTGCAGAGGGAGAGGAGTTTAGACAGTGCTGACAGTCACGTGAGCGGTTATAAGTTATCCTCAAAAATGTAGCAGTGATATTTGTGCTGGTAATTACAGCCAATATCATTACACTGAAGGGATATGATGTCAGAACAACACCCTGAATTCTGACATATTTACATGTTAATAAATTTAGAATCAATGATGTAACTTTGCATCATTTATGGGAGGAGGGTCTTACTGAGACGAAGCCACTCCCAGCGGTCCTCCCATTTGTCAATCATCTCTTTCCTCTTGTCTGTCAACTGGAGCAGCTTCTCTTTGATCTGAACACAGACACACACAAACATGTACTCTGTAGTTTTTTCCAGTGTTTTTTTTTTTTGACAAATGTCAGATGCCAATGACGGTGTTGACAAAACAGTGATGTCACATGATGGTGTAAGTGTGCTGACCTCTTCAGAGGCGTAGTGCTTCCTGGCGAGCAGCGCCTTCCCAAGCTCGATGCAGGCGGTGAAACTGTCGTTACGGGCATCAATCTCAGCTTTAATGCCCTGGTGGTTGTTCATTAGCAGCTCCACTGACGACACGTCCCTAAACACAGGGCAGTGTTAGTCACACTGACACCCCCGCCCCCACCTGCTGCAGTGCACTGTCCCTCCGTTTACCTGGGCTTCTCCTGGGCTTCGATGAGACGAATCACATCATCCATCCACAGCATCAGGTCTCGGACCATGCTGAAGAACCGGAACTTATCACCTGTGTCCATCAGGCGGAGTCGACGCTCGTCACATGCTTCCAGCAGACTCCTCCATGCATCCAGCACTTCACTCTCCCGACGCTGAATGTCATCAGCTTTGTCTCCAGCATACGCCGATTGGAGACGCACGGCGTCCTCCTGCAGCTGCCTCACCTGTAAGACACGTACGATCAGGATGGATTAAAAATGTTAAAACCCATGGACATATAACAATATAATTTGAATTTTATTTTTTTCCCTTTAAACCAATGGATTTATTTACACTAAAATGCATGAGACCCCGGACACATCCCTCCTTTTAATTACCCAAATAATTAATTACCATCCCACCCCCATAGTTTCCTCCACGAGGCTGTCTGCTGCCGGGCTAACCTGAGTTCCCAGGGCCTGGATGTCGTGTTCAAAGGTAGTGTGCATCCTCTGCAGTGTCTCCACTGTGTTCTGGTCTCTGCCAACTTCCTCTGGAAGCTTCTTTTGCTTGTCCACAATGCGTGCCAAAATCTCCTTGGCGTCGTGGTAGAACTTGTGGAGCTCGAAGGAGGCGGCAAGGATCTGAGTGCGAGTGTCGATGAGCTCCAGCAGGTCGGCCCAGGCCTCGTTTAGGCCGTCTTTCCACTCTGCTACTGTCGCTGCATCTCCGTGACCAGCATTAATCAGTTCATCAGCCAGGCGGTTCACAGCGTCCACACGTTCCTGACCAATGTTTCCAGTGTCCCGGGCAAATTCCCTGAATCGCTCCTGTAACATCTGGGTTCAAAGATCAGTAAGATAAAAAAATTAATTCCATGTTTTACCCACTGCTCACTGTTAGTTATATTAATACTCTACTGGTAGTGTACCGTCACGTGTTCATAGTCCTGTCCCAGCTCGTGTGACCCAGCTACCACCTCCCGCTCAGCTATCCACTGCTCCAAGTCGTCCACTTCACGGTTCAGCTGGAAGAGGCGGAGTCTCTCGTCTAGTTTGCCCCGTCTCTCTTCAGACAAGTCCTTCAGACCAGCGTAAAGTTTGTCCACCTGAGACTGACGCATGCTGATACGCTCACTGACACACACGAGCAGAGCGGTGTATTAGGCGTACATTTGTAATGGTTATGGTTGGAGGAAATGTTTATGTGAAGTGCTATACCTCTCTGGGTGTGAGTCAGACACCAGCCCCCTGCTGGTCTTGGAAAGCAAGTGCACATTCTCGGCATAATCTTCCACAGCCTGCTCCATGATCTGATGCTTCTTCAACATGGTGACGGCGCTCAGCTCGTCCTGCAAGACCAGCAGCCAATCAGATCACATTGCATTTATATGGAGGGAAAAGGGAAACGAAGGCTATTAATGTGTCCATGTTGTTTTTCTTAGACAACTGTAATGACCACTCCCCTGTCACACCCACCTTAGCCTTTTCCTCTGACATCATGTACAGCTCCTGTTCGCTCATCCAGGCCTCCGCCTCAGCGGCGTCAAAGTAGTACTGCTGGGCCTTATGGGCCTCCTCCAGTCGGTTGTGACGGAGGTCGACCTCATTCATCAGTTCTTGCCACAGCTCCTGTAGCTGCGCCAGGCGTTGGCGGATGACATCAGCACTCGGGGACTCATCTTTCAGCAAGCTCTGACTGCGCTCTAAGATGTCATCGACGCGTGGTTGGTGTCCCTGGAGCTCCTTCTGGAGTGTCTGCAGGTGGAGACGATTGTTTACCGGTTCAATATTCTCACATAATGGCTGCAATATACGGTGTAAAGCGATAGTTTGTCACTTCTTTCACCTGGTTTTTCTTGATGAGCAGCTGCACCGTCTGCAGGTTGTGTCCGTGGTCAGTGGATGTGGCCGTAGGCATCCGCTCCTGGACCCAGAGCTGGACGACAAACACGGATCTCATTAACACATCATCGTCAGACCTCACTTTATCTCAACTTCAGTCTTGTTTTTCACAGTTCACCGTTGCTGCTCGTTGCAGCGTTTCTATGTCACACATTCTTAAAGTTATGCATAACAATAAACACAAGAGCAACTTCTTGCTTTTGGGACTAACAATAAACACAAGAGCAACTTCTTGTTTTTGTGACTTTTTAGGTTTTTTTTCCATTATAGCCTTTTATGACCGATGCTTCATTTTTATTTCATACTTTTATCTTTGAGATATACTGACAACATTATTTTTGCCCATTTTTTACTTTGTATCCAAATGTAATTTTTTTTTAGCTGTTGAGATATACTGACAACATTATTTTTGGCCATTTTTTAAATTTGTATCCATGTAAGTTATTTTAGCTGTTTTTTAGCTTATATTATAGCTCCTTTATCTTACTTCTATCCATTTGTATATCTATTTAAAAAAAAACAACTCACAATCTCGTCCTCCACGTCACGGTTGAACTGGTGAACCTCTCGAGATGCCACCAAAAAGTCCCTGCGACGCCTCAGTGGGTCCAGCAGCTCCTGGAACTTCTTCTCCACCACCTGTCTTCGTCCGTCCACCTCGTCAGCGTCCTTCACCTCCTGACCCAGAGCCTTCACCTGACTCTGCAGCTCCACAACCTCCCGCTGCCGCACCTCCACCTGTTTCTCCAGCATCTGTCGAAGTGACACATTAGCAGGTGAGGACCCTCCATCACACAGGGGTACCCAGAACCAGCCATCGGAACTGAAACATCCGTTAGCTTTTCAACAAAAATACAGCTCTCATTCAGTGAAGACAAACGTCTCTAAATGTCGAGTAGACAAAGCAGCTCAGCATCATGTCCTGAACGTAGCCTACCTGCTGCTTCTTTAGCAGGATGTTGACAGAGGTCAGGTCTTTGCCGTAGTCATCAGACTGAATCTGGCCTTCCAGTCCCAGCAGCCACTTGTCAAGGTCTGCACAGCTCTGTGTGAAAAGCTCTGCCTTGTTTGCGTCAAACAGACACTGAGCTTTTGTCTGAGTGGTAGACTCCAGCTCAGCCCACATGGTCTGAAGCGCCGAGAGCTTCTCCTTAACCACAGCCTCCGTTTCGGGCTTTTCTGACACCAGCAGCTGGCCGTCCTGTGGAGTTCAAAGTAGAAGATGACAGTCAGTGTTGGTGTGTGTTTGCACCGGGAGAAAGATCGACAGCAGCTGACGAAGATTTTTAAAGTCCTTTTAAATCCCTTTAGAGAATCAAGTAAAAAGTGAATCTTTATGTCCAGTCGGTCACAGACAAGTCAGTGTATAAAGTCTTTTCACTCTAGGTTGAGTCAGAGTGTCAAGTTGTATCAAATCAGTAAAATGAAACAGTTTATTTTAGTGTTGCGCTACAGTAAACAATGTGACGAGGAATAGCACCCCCTACCTTTTGGATTTTGTCCAGCCACTCTTTGTTGGACTGGAGCTCGGCCATGAACGCCTGGTGCTTCAGCCACTTGCTGTGCAGGTTTCTGGCCTCGTCGTACGTCAGGTCCTGAGCTGTGAGCATCTTCTCACTGATCCACAAGGACAGCTGTGCAGACAGACACAGACAGACAGACTTTATTTATCAGCTCCTTATCACAGGTTGGCTTCTGGCTACAGTGACATTAAACCCTGATAAGAGTCATGTGACCAACCTCCTGACAGTCCTGCAGGAACTTCTGCAGGTCTCTGTTGTCCTTTAGTTTCATCAACAGTTCCACCGCCGCCTCTCTGTTCTTCTTGTGTCTGAAAAACCAAAACATACATCAATGAATGAAAGCTTCTTTAGCAGGATGTGGACCAGAGTCTAACAGGTTTGTTGTAAAAAAAAAAAAAATTATTATTTTTTTTTAATTAATGACGACATCTACCTGTCATCGATTGAGGAAACTTTCTCCTGGATACGTTCAGCGTTAACGTTGCCGTCACTGGCCAATCGGCGTCCAGCCTCCACCACACCATTGATCTTGTCCTCATTGGCGTCCATCGTGGTCATGAAGTCCTCCTGCTTCTTGATGGCGGCTTCGGCTCCTTCCAATGTCGCAGGCATCTCAGTGTGAGCGAGGACATATTCCTGTTGAGTGGAAACAGGTCATGAATTATGGAGAATGAATACAAACATTAACTTCATATCATGGTACATGAATTAATTTATTTATATTATTCATGTATTCATTTCCTTCTACTGATGTCAAAGAACTTCAAAACTATACCTCAGAGTCATGTACTCTGAGTACACTAGATGGCTGAATGAGGTTCCAGTCTTGGCTGGGAGTCTAGGTCTAGGCTGTGGAGGAAGACTCTGTTTACCTGGTTGTTGAGGAAGGCCTCAGCCTGCTTCGTGTCCCTCAGGAACAGCTGATAGGCATGTGACTGTGACAGCAGGTTCTGCCGGTTTTCCCACATCTTGTGCAGTTCGTTCCAGCCAGTATCAAGTGCCTGCAGCCGCTGGCGCAGGAACATGTACTGGGCATCTGTCTGGCCCTGTGTCACCATTTCACCCATGTCGCGCATCTTCTGGTAGTCTTCCTCATAATTCTGGATCTCGTTCTTGATGCCCTCGTGCTGGGCCATCAGTTTCTCAGCTTCGGCCAGTGTGTTGGGCATGTCCTCGGAGGCAATAGCAGTCTGTGTGCGGGACAGCCACGACTGAAAGTCATCCAGCTCGCGCAAGAACTGCTGCAGCTTCCTTGCCTCGCCCAGAGACTCCTCGCGGTTCTTCAGGGTGTTCTTCATCTCCTCCCAGACGGCATTGATCTCGGCCAGGCGACCTGTGATCGCTTTGGCCTGTTCAGGGTGCTCCTCTGACAGTCGGTCGGCCTCACTTCGAAGGTCGCCCAGTTTGTCCTCGATGGCAGCCAGGTCCCGCTCCATACCGGTCAGTTTACGCTGCAGTGCCATGACTCCGGTCAGGTCGTTGCCCAGCTCCTGCGTTGACTCGATAACTTTGGTCTTCTCTTTGATCCAGGACTTGGTCTCATTACACTCCAGATGGTAATTCTGCACACCCAGAGCTGAGTTGAGGGATTCTTTTTTCTGGTCCACAAGGTCCCGGAACTGGCTCCACCTGGAGGAAGAGCCAATCAAAGTCAAAACGTGATCACAAACTATAAAACTGTTGAAGATTGCCTTTTTTAAGAATAAGACTTGAATGTTTGTTAAGGTTTATGGTACCTGTTGTTGAGTTTGTCTTGCTGCATCTTGATGTCCTTCTCACTCGGGTGTCCATTGTGTATCAACTGTCGTGCGATCTGATTGACCACGGCCACACGAGATGCCTGGTTGTTCATCTCCGGTTCCAGACTCTCAAACCTGGTGAAAAAGATTAGTTTAGTCCCCCGTCCTTGACCATGGTGAAACACACACACACACTCACACACACACACACACATGCTGAAGCAGGAGACAGTTCTTACCTGTGTTGAATCACTTCCAAATCCTCCAGCCTCTCAGGAATCACCATGGTGTTCAGCCACTGCTCCTTCTCGTCAATCCAAACCTCGCAGGCGTCTGCCTCGCTCAACATCTTGTAGAGTGAAAGTGCATCCTGCAGCGCCTGCTTTCGTAGCTTTGTTAGCTCAGCCACCTCCTTATAGCGTTCTTCAATGCCGGCAAGACGACCGCGAACTTCCTCCGACTCTGCTTCCTCTCTGGGCAGGCCAGCAGCCTGTTCGTGGAGTGAGTCAATGACAGGGCGGTAACTCGCCACCTCCGCCGCCGCATCCTTGTGTTTCCTGACCAAAGCCTGGGTGGAGAACTCGTCGTGGCCTGTCTCTCCGCTGGAGACGATACGCAGGGCATCCAGCGTCCAGGCGTCCACATCATCAGCGTCTGCCTGGAACTGGTGCAGGGCCAACGCCTCCTCCAGCCGCTGCTTCCTGGCGGCCGCCAGCTGCTCCAGTGCGACCCACTGGGCCTGCAGGTCAGACATGCGCTCCTGGATCTTGTTGGCTCCAAAGTGACCGGCGTCCACCATGGCTTGGCCCTCGGCAATTGTGTGTTGCAGGTGTCCAGCACGGCCACTCATCTCATCCTCCAGTGCACGCTGCTGGCTGAGGAGGCGCAGCGCCCCCGTGAGGTCCTTGCCATGCTCCAGAGAGGAGAGGATCTGCTCTTTTTCACGGATCCAGCCTTCCTCTTCTGCCATCTCCCAGAAAAACTTCCAGAGGCGACGGGACTCCTCCAAACAAGCCCGTCGCTCGGCAGCCAGCTGTGTCAACTCTTGGTAAGAAAACTCCAGGTGAGACACGCGGTCCTGGATGACCTGGGGGTCGCAGGGTTTGTAGCCTGAAGAGAAACATCACCATCAATGTGACAAACTAAAAAGAAATCTTATTAGGTCACAAACTGACATCACCATCAATGTGACAAACTAAAAAAAATCATATTAGGTCACAAACTTAAACCTACAATCCAATGTTTACAACAACAACAACATTTTCTTGTTACATTTTATCTGTAATTTCACTGAAATCGTCCAAACATCCTCACCATCATCATTGACAGAGAATCTTTTGGCATTGGTGGTGACCGCCTTCACCCTGTCAGCCTGGATGGCAATGTCAGCTTCTACCAAGGCATGTTTCTGCAGCAGGTCCTCCACGCCCAGCAGGTGTTTGCCGTAGTCCTGGGACAGCAGCAGCATCTGGAAAAGTCAGGTGTTACTTCACTGGTCTAAAAGCTGGTTTGATCAGTTTGCTTCTCATTAGTACGTCAGCATATTGGGAAACTCTGTCGTCATATTTGCTACACAGATAGAAAGTAAAATTATCTTCAAAAAGTTTTTATCTATTTTTGTTAAGCTGAACTGAACTGCCACAGCATCAGCTCTGACTTTTGTTTATCTAACGACTGAAGCTTAAACTAAAAAATAATATTGTACTTGTCAATCAGAATAGTTTCTTGTCTGGACAAAAAACCAGCTGCTAAAGCCACTCCACAGTATTCTCCGTTCATCAGCTCTGTCAAGGCCCTGGATTATGTAATTCCTAATAATCAAAAGTTTTGTCAGTACCTTCATCTCATCCATCCAGTCCATGATGTAAAGCATCTCCTGGAAGACCCTCTGCAGGCCGAGGTTCATCTCCAGCCGAAGCCTGCGTGCCTTCAGCAGCTCCAGCAGATACTCCCACAGGCGGATCACGTTGTCCTTTCTGGCCGTGATGCGTTTGATGTCATGGTAGTGCTCAACCTCCAGTTCCCTGGCCACCGCAACCACCGCCTGGACGCGCTCCTCGTAGGCCGCAATGTCTGTCTCGATGGCCTCGTGTTTTTTGGTAGCAGCCTCAACAGCCTGAAGGTCGAACCCAAAGTTGTCCTGGGAAAAACAAAATGCAGGGAAAGCAAATGTTACCAGGGAAAACAGACCAGAACGCCGTCCTCTACCAGCATCCATGATCTTATACACAAACAGAACTCTTATTTTCCAATAAACATTATGTCGTTTTTCTGAAAACAAATCTGGTAAAAAATACTGTGATCACACCTGTGACACCAGTCTCTGGTTTTCGCTCAGCCAAGTCTCCCTCATCGCCGCCTTGCGGTCAAAGCGTCGGGCCAGCTGTTCCAGTTTCTCCTGACGGATCAGCTCCGTCCTTAAGGCCAGCTCTCGCTCGTGCTCTGCCTTTTCCAGTCTCTCCCAGGCCTGGAAGAATGAACACGACAACAGATCAGAGCAGAGTTACATTAAACTTCAACTCATGATCTTTGGATCAGATCCTGTCAGAGGTTTGAATGATATTAGTGTCAACAACTGGACCGGGATCGTCTTGACTCACAGAATGTTTGAAATCCCTGGGATCCCAAATTTTGGCCTAGAGTTGAATTCTACTGCACCTCAGGTTTTTTTCTTGTTGAAAAAGTCTATCACATTTGTCACTGCTTCTAACATTGTTTTTTTTTTTTTTTACAGCCACAGATGTATGAATGAAGAGTACGATCGAAGGATGGATCAGAATGATTTTGGAAAAAATACACTGAAAAACTACAATAATTTGGTGAAAATGTCCGATGCTGATTTGTGAACCTCACCTTGTTGATGTCAGAGATGAGTTTTCCCTCGCGGGGCATGTAGACCTTCTGGTTGTTGGCTCTCATCTTGCTCTGAATGGTGAACAGCAGAACCTCCAGGTTTCCCTTCTCTGTGAACCTGTGGACAGACGGACACCGTGAGTGTCGTGGACATATCAAAGTCAGAATTTGTGTAAAACTGAAGGAACTTGTTCTCACTTTGGTGGTTTCTCCACGGTGCGGTAGGTGTTGAAGGCCTGCAGTTGCTGCTGGACGCCCAGCAGGGAGTTGGCGAACTTCCTGTTGTTGAGGATGATGATGGTCTGTTCGATCCATTCCAGCAGGTCAGAGGCCAGAGACTCGTACTTTTCTATCATTTTCTCTGTCTCGATGGCATTGTCCAGAACCTGGATTCAAAAAAAAAAAAAAGGACAAATATTAGCCAATGCCGTTACAGTTGGACTCCGCCCCTGTTCGACGACTGACTCGTTAACCCACCTTCCCGATTCGTTTGCCCTCCACCTTCAGGGCCTTCATCTTAGAGAAGTAGTGGTAGTAGGTCACCACGTAGGTGATGACCGACTTCTCATCAGGATGGTCCACGCTGATGTCTGAAACACAAACACACACGCTGCTGTAAGCGGTGGCGCCCAGAGTGAATTTACTGCGAGAACCTGATCTGAGGGATTAAACTGCTGTTGGTGTTGGCACCGTCTTACCCTCTGGATCCAGCAGCTTGGTGAGGCCCAGGTGTTGTTCTGCCAGGTTAAAGGCATTCTGTAAGTTGTAGTGAGCGTTGGATTTCTTCAGCTTGTCAAAGTCGATCAGGTCAGGCCTGATGAAAAAAACACACAAAATAAATACAAAAACAAAAACAGCAAAGCAGCGACACGGCAGTTTGATATGAGGACGTGACGTGACGTGACGTGACGTGACGTGACGTGGAGCTCACCTGTGTTTGTGAATGAGAGCATTGAAGGCCATCCCATCTCTCCAGCTGGTGGTGAAGTTGTGGATGTTGACGTTTGGATAGCTGTGAACAGAAGACACTTCAGGTTATTGGTCAAGACACAGTCACACACTCTGATGTCACCAGTCTGTGAGACACTGACACGAGGAACCAGGCAACACAAGGCTGTTCCCTTAGAGAACATATACATACATATATAAATATGTATATATATATATATATCAAAGAAGGAGAGCCAACAGCGTGTGCAGCCTCTCACCCTGCCGTCTTCATCTGACACCACAGCAGCAGAGCGTCTTTAGCCGATCTCTTCTCTTTGTTGTCTTCAGTCTCCACACTGATGTCCTGAATCTGAAAACAGGAAACGACACAGAATCACACAGAGCTGTCGTAGGGGGGGGTGGGGGCGACCGTAGTTATGACTAGTTAGCTGTTCTCAGCGTCACTGAGTGTGTGGTTTGAATGTTTGACTGAATTGGTAATGTGTAAGAGTAGTAAGAGTGTAAGAGAATGTTGAGTAAGAGTTACGGAACACTGGTTTCATTTGAATGTGTAGCAATGAGTCATTTGATGAGGTGAAAACCTCATGTTGACGAGCTGAGGTCAGGATTATCAACAGAACTGATAAGAATCTGTGTCGATAAAATCAAACTGACAAGACAAGGAAGAGCTACTGCTGCTGCTCCGCATGGAAAGTTTTAGATGAGAAATAAAAAACTCCACAGTTCAAAGGTTTCCATGGTGACGGCATGGACTGTTCCGGACTTTAACCTGTCCACAGAGAAGTCCATTTCAGACTGAGACCCGTCCGCTCACCTGGAAGCGGAGGATGATGGTCCAGATGAGGCCGAGCGTCAGGCGGTGGTTTCCATCCACAATGTCATGGGAGCCCATGTTCTCCAGGTGAACCCGCTGCTCCTTCAGGAACTGCAGCGCCTTGTCCACGTTCTCCAAACAGTGGATACGCATGCGGCCTTTGGTCGGCTTTGGCTGCACAGATGACATCAGAGTGTCAGGTTTTTTTGTTTTGTTTTTAAACCACATTTACTGATCATCAAAGCCGTTGACTTACATTTGACCTAAATATTAACTATTGTTGAATTGACTGCAAACAATGTTCTCCATTTGCATTGATTACAGTAATAATGGACATTTATTTCCATTACTTTACACAGTGTAAAATAAACACCACATTGTAATTTTAAATTAAAAAAAAACCTGATAACCAATCAGGAGTCCTGTGACTGCGTGTGTGTGTGTGTGTGTGTTGGTTATCGTTGTTTGTTCCCACATTCCGTGTCTGTCGGTTTTTTATCTAAGAAACAAATGTTTTGTTTTGTGGCTCCAGAGTCAAGGACTTTGTCAGGGAACAGAGAAATTCTGCTCACAGAATCCATCCTGATAAATACAGTAGCATTATGTGATATGCAAACACACACACACACACACACACGTCTTATCAGAAGGCCTGAAGTCAAGGCCGACAATTCTCTGCCTTCAAACTCACAAACAGCGACAGTGGAAAACAGGAAGTAGGACACACCTGCTAATGTGGCCTGCAGCAGTGTGTGTGTGTGTGTGTGTGTGTGTGTGTGTTGTACTGACCAGTCTCTCTCCAGACAGAACCTCCAGCAGCTTGATGAGCATGCGTCCATCTCTGAGGTCCATGTAAAGGTCAGTGATCCTGCAGGAAACTCTGGACAGGTGAGAGTTCACCCACTTGGTGAAGGTCTTCTTCTGCACCGCCTCGCGCACTCTTACGACAGGAGGAGGAGGAGGAGGAGAATTAAGGAAGTCACTCGGCTAACCCCACACTGACCCTCGGCACAGAGGAACTGTAGTGTGAACGGGTCCACTTTATGTTTCACCCTGAGAAAGGCTGATGAAAAGTGTTTAAGGAGCTACAAATGTCACTGATCAACATCGGGTTTCCTTTTTTTTTGCCTTGAGCACAAAGAACACTTTGAGGCAGATCTATATAATATAATATCATTTTTTAAGGAGCTACAAATGTCACTGATCAATATCGGGTTTCCTTTTTTTTCTTTTGCCTTGAACAAGAAAACTTTGAGACAGATCTATATAATATAAAAAACACTTTGAGGCAGATCTATATAATATTGTATACTGTATTTATTTCGATTTATGTCTGATAATAACAATCTGAAAGTGCAGCTAGAATCTTCTGACCCCTGTGTCTGGGTCATTCTTCAGTTTCATTGGAATGCAGGCTCTGTAATGGTTTGGGGCTGTGTTTTAACCCATGATGTCAGGAGCTTAGGGAACAAAATGTATTCTGGGAAAACTCCTTTCCCACATTGAATTTATTTTCCTGCCACAACTTAACACTTTTCAAAGTTGCAGGTGCGTCTCCACCAATCCTGACCCTGTTTGTTTAAGGACTGTGGAAGGAACGAAGTCCCCGGAGAAAATCCCCAACAAGAGAACGTGCCAAATTCATACATACCACGGGTTACCACAGGGGATCAAACCATTTATCATATTGCTGTTAAGCAAGAGAATTCACCACTTTCCCCACTGTCAGACACAGTGGAGTCACATGGGACTGAAATGGCAGACAACAGTGGAGAATACGTCTTCTTGGTGCTGAGACACAGCAGCTACAAATCTAGTGAATCCATCAACTTTAGCAGAGTTAGAGTTAGAGCAGACCACTGCACGGAATAAGAGACAGATAGAACTTCATTAATCTCTCAGGAGTTCCCATCGGGAAATTTAAATAATGACACACACCCAAGAACCTGAAGGGATAGATAGGAAAATCAACAACCTATACTGTGCAGCAGTTGTCAGATGGTGAGATGGAAAGAAGTGAAATGATGAAAGTATGACAAGAAATTGAAGAGTCCTTGGATGGACGTGGAGGAACCCACGCAGGAGGACCTCGCAAAGAGACAGAATCACTCTCTCAGGGATTTCATCTAACATTTTTTGACAGGAAATCTGAAAAACCGGTTTAAATAAACCCAACTCTGTCATGACTGACTTCCCAACCTGCCGTGGCTCAGGATACGGAGCTACAGTTTGCTAATGAGACACAGACGCAGGCGGAGAGGCCACGAGTAATCGTTCTTTGAAAACCCGACAAGTGATCGTGGAAAAAAAAAAAGGAATGAATTCACAGAAGTAAAAGGACATCAAAGATGGTCCGCACAAGGAGAAGACGGATGAGGTCATCCCTGGGACAGACAGAGGCTGAGGAATTTCTGCAGGATGTAAAAAAAAAAAAAGAGAACGGTGGGAAGGGCACTGGTTAAGGTAAGAGGAAATCGATTTTATGAGGTTTGTAAAAAAAAGTCTGATTGACCTCTGTGGCACAGGCTTTCTGTTAGAGTTAGAAAAACGGTTGTCGGCCGTGACCCCTCTTCACCAAACACATCAAACCACAACAGAACTGTGAATAAAGTAGGGTTTGTCACAGCTGCCTTTGTAATCTTCAGATGTGGACGAGCACTTCCTCTTCAGATCTAAGGAAACAGTTGGAATCCATTCTGGGAATTGTTAACCAACCGCGCATGTTGACCAAAACGAATAATAAAAAAAACCCCAGCGATCTGCAGGAGAACCTCAGGAGTATGTGAGAAGTGAGAAATGAGACGTTTCGAAACTGAAACACAACATCTCGACCATTTCCACTCTGACACACACACACACACACACACACAGTGCGTCCAGACCTGGGGCACGTCTTACCTTGCAGCTGTTTAAATCGTCCTTCCAGCTGGTTGTAGTTGACCTGCTGGTGAGGAGAGTCGGCCGCAGCCCACTCCGCCTCCATCACAGCGCCCCGCGTTTGTGTGAGCGAGAGAGAGAGAGCGAGCGAGCGACTGAGTCAGGTCCAGAGACAGTATCCACCGCAGCGACGCAGGTTAGAGACAGCGGTTCATGGTACAGTTACCGTTGGAAACTGACTTAACAGACGTTTAAAAGTTAAAAAAAAACACAACAAAAAAACACCTGCAGCTCAACACTGCGATACTTCGTCCACGAGGGAAGAAGGAAAAGAAACTGGATCAAGAAAGAGGAGCGCCGTCAAAAAGTCCAGAGGTCAGAGTGACGGCAAAGGCAATGTACGAGTGTGTGTGTTTCCTGCCCTTCCCAACTGTGTGAGCATCACAGCTACACATTACTGCCACACACACACACACACACACACACACACACACTAAACTAACAGACTCCACCCACTGCAAACACCGGAGGGACAACCCCACACACTTCTGTCTGCACTGTAAGAAATGGAGGTTAATGAGTAAAATGAGTTTCAGTTGATGACACTCAGGTCTCCCTCCTGTGTGAAGCTTTGATCTCCCCCCCACATCCCCCCCCCACTGAGCTTTGTTCCTCAGGCTCCGCCCACCTTCAACAACAACAGTCACACAAACATGACAAGTGTCAATTACTAACAGCAATAGAATTTTCACAGTCAAAACAAGTGTGTGTGTGTGTGTGTGTGTGTGTGTGTGTGTTTACTGGACAGCAAGAATTCCCCAATCAGCCAATAATGTTAGAGCTTAACAATGATGTCACCGAGGGTGTGATGAGGAGGGGGGGGTGTTTCCCTCTATTGTTCATTCACATTCCTGACTGAAGGGGAAGGAAAAAGGAAATAAACATCCTGCGGCTAAGAACACATGCACACGTGTGTGTGTGCGCACTCACACACAAACAGGAAGTCAACTACAACTCCCATGATCTCTTTCACCAACTATAGAAGCTTCAGCTCCAGCTTTTTTTTCTCCCCACAAGTTGAATTCTCACTTAAGTTTGAAACAATCCTTTGTGGACTTTAAGATAGATTTTTCTGGGAATCCTTTAATGCCACTGACCTTAGATTCCTTTGATCAGGTTTAAGTGTCAATATTATTTATTTTCTAGCCATTATGTAGTTATTTATTTAATTTATTTATTCTTATTTATTTTCTGGTCAATATGTAGTTATTTATTTATTTAAGTAACTGTACTTCACTGTACTATTTTTGTCTTCTGACTTATTTAGTTGTATTAACTTAAGCTAATTTTGGTGGAACTCATCGTCTTTTGAGACTTTTTCACCAAAACATTCGCCGAGTCTCATCCTACCTGCTAGCGCTTTGATGCGTGAGCGTTCGAAGAGGCGGGCCGAGCTGTTCTCGTTGTCCCACTCATCCTCCCAGCGGTTGTTCACAGTGTCGTTGCTGATGTTGTACTGCTGCTGCAGCTCATTGTGGTCGTACTCGGCGGCCACCGTCGTCATCATGACTGTTCACCTCAAGGTCAGCGGAGACACGCCCACATCAGCAGCGTAAGGCCGGGACCTGTCAGAGCAGAAAGTCAAGTAACCGATCAGTGACAGAAACTAAATGCATTTCAAATCACAGAAAATAAATCCAAAATCTCCACACAGTTAAAGTCAATGTGTTTCTTTCGACCTCAGGACCAGAACCAGGAACGATGAGCGTTGAACAATGTTAGAAAAAAAATCAAAAATCTAATCAGCGTGAGCAGAACTGTCAGGATTGTTGATTGTGTTTCCTTTGAATAGTGAACACCAAAAGTATCTCCTGTGGTCTTTAAAAGCAGAAACGAGAGCCATTGATTTTCTGTGGTAATTTGTAGGCGCTTTGGCTTCACGTTTGCGCCCCCTTGTGGGCTGTTTATGCGACTCGGTGTTGGCTGAGAAAATGTGCACACAGTGAATGAGCAGAATAAACAAACACGATCACTGAGGACTGAACTGTTAAACCTTCGAATCATTTAGGTTTAAAGAACATTTGCAAACACACAGAGAGAGATGTCCTGCTCTATCAAAATATTCCAGATTTGTCTGGAACAGTCTGAACTTATTCTGAAGTATTAACTCGTTTTTATGTTTAATAAGAATTTTATGTCATATTGTTTCCTATTCTCCATGTTTATTTTCTTATAGTTCATTAATGTATTGATCCTTATTTGTTTTAAATTATTCATATACTATCACGGACAACTATGAGACTGACGAGTGGACTAATACCGCCACCTGCTGGACATGGCTGGTTGATTTAATAATGTTTGTTTCCTCTATTAATCAATTAACGTTTTAGAACATTACAACATAACAAAACGCACCACTAATGTTCCAACAAACGTATTATCAGCCTAGAAAAGTATTTAAATTGGGAATTCAAGAGTTAAATTAGACAGTGAAAAAGCATAGTTCTTGGGTGGGTGAAAAAAAACAAACTTATCATCATAGAACAATCATAGAAGCCTCACTGCTGAGGTTAACATTAACAACACAGTCAATATTAAACAACACACACACACACACACACACACACACACACACACACAGATAAACATTCAGCTGACGTCCAGGAAGTGAGCAGTTATTGGACAGAAGCATTACAGCACTCAGATGTCCTGTGGGAGCGTCCACTAATGGACACAACTTCCCAGAATACTCGGCAGGATGATGAAAACAGAGCTGCTTGAGAATCGGCAGCAGCAGCAGAGCACGACAGGGCAGAGGTCAGAGGTCGGCAGTTAAAGTACCCTTCCCATGGTCCGACATCCATTTTTACGTCCCCTGGTCCGACCCCTCTCTTTGTGACACACACACACAACATCACACACACCCTGTATCAAACATGTCAGTGTCCACACAAACACACACATCTGTAGACAGGAAGTCCAACCCAGATGGGGACACCGTCAAACAGGTCCTGGGTGAAGCGTTGGAGGTCGAGAAGTTTAGCGTTAAGGTGACGACATTCTCTGACGCTCTAAAACTATTTTCATTATTCGTGTTATTTTCAAACATTTGAAACCAGGTGCAGATTTATTCAGCTGCACAACAAGACCAAAGAGCAATAACAAAATCGTAATCTTTGATCACAACAATCTTGACTGTGACATCAACGCTGGGATCATCTACTACGAGGGAAGATTTTAGGAGATCAACAACATGTAGGAATCTGATTCTCATTGTTTTTTTCTATTATTAAAAAGGTTTTAAGTTCAAGTTTAATGAAAACAATCTTCTATTTTTTATTATAGGTCTTGAGTTCAAGTTTAACAAAAACAATCTTAGGTCTTTTTTAAAATACAAATATAAAGATGCCACAAACTTGACGCTAATTTATAAAACGTTTGCTTGGATCAGCAAAAAAGATCTTGATCATTAAGTACTGGAATGGCAGCAAAGCTACAACAACGCCTTGTTTTTAGTCATTTGAATCAAGAAGACCGTTGGTAATCCAGACCAAACTACATACAGTATGATGTATGTTAAAACGGAACAATAATAATCATCATAACTTCTTTGTCGTTTCTTTGTCACTTAGTTGTTAAGATTGAACTGTTGGTCAGAAAGTACAAACAACTGTGTGTGTGTGTGTGGGGGGGGGGTTGAACAAATGGCCCTGACTCCCGAAATACCATTAAACATTCCTCTAAGCATGACAGCTGCGCACATAGACACACAACACACACACAGACACACACGCACACACACACAGCTGTCTCCAGCAGCAGACATAGATTAGCATTAGCACAGAGCTAAGAGCTGCTAATGGTCCTGTCCATGTGACTGTTTTTATCTTCAGCACATTAAGAGCGCAGGATCGACATCATGTCCACACACACACACACACACACTTACAGTCAATCACAACACAGACAAACAGCCTTTGTGAACTCGGTCTGCTGGTTACACAAACATAAACAAAGTCGTTCAATGTGTTTTTCTTGCCAGGTAGAGTAAATAAATAGCAGCAACGTCAGAATCAGACTCGAAGTCAATCCTAATCTAACTTGTTCACACGTCTGATTGGTTGTAGACGTCACACCAGGCTGAAACATGAATGCAGTGACGTCACCGCAGCCCAAATCACTGCCATCTGCTGTTCTGTGATCAAAGACTGGTGGCTTCACTGCTGACATTTACAGGGTCATTAAGTCACTGAAACTAACATAAAATCACAAACTTTTTCAGTGACATTCTGGAAAGTTCTGCAGGCTCTAAAAAAAACACAAACACAAACACAGAGGAACAGAGAGTTGTGCTGCTGCAGTAAGAGGAGCCGAGAGAACGGGAGGACTGAGAGTGAACACACTATTAGATTAACACAAAGTCATTTCCTGTCCACTCGCCCCGCCCTTTGTCTCTGATCCAGGATCTGGCCAAAACAGTTTAATATGTTTCTGCTGAATCACCACAACAACAGGGAGGACACTCAGTTTGACATGACTTCATGAGAGCGAGGAGAAGAGGGAGGAGAAACAGGTGAAAGGGAGATGAGGAAGGAGATAAAGGAGAGGAAGACCCTGGAGGAGACAAGAAGACATCACACATGACATGGGGAAACCAGAAGACACGAGATGAGACACAGGACACACAAGGCAAGGACAGAGCAGGGGCTGTGGACGACAGAAAAGTAGACAAGGAGAGAAGACAGGAGGAAAAGAATGTCAGGACAGAAGAAGACAAGAAGAAAGGACGGATAATAAAGAAGACTAGAAATGAGATAAGACAGGAGAGGAAAGAAGAAAAGAGTTTTTACTTTATTACTAACTAGAAATGAGATAAGACAGGAGAGGACAGAGTTTTCACTTTATTACTTTGACCAAACAACAACAGGAAATCATTCAATAACAATTAAGGCTGTAAACATCAACTTCTAACGATACGTTACGTAATTGTGCTAAAACGTCTTGGTGGTAAATCATTTGAAGTTAGGAACATCTCAACACACCCTTCTGTACTCTGGGGCCTCTGTCTGACTGACCGTGGCTACAGGGACACATCCAGCCGCGTTCAACAACATAACGGTCCCGTGCAAAGCCAGTTAGGAGGAAAAAAAACTTCCGGTAACGTTTCCATAACACACGCGCACGCGTGCATCCACAAACACACTCGCGCACGGCCACGCCTGTTTTCACCTCCCGTTATTCCCCTCCATCCCTCCCGCAGACTGGCGGGCACGAGCAACGGACACGCGGCCTCGTTAGCGTCGCTGCTCGACCTCGGATTGCGGACAGGAACGGGGAAAGCAGGGCGGGCCTGCGGAACTCCGGGCAGCGGCAGCGGGAAACAGAGCGAGTCTCCCTCCCCGACATGAAGCCAAGTTGGCTCCGAGTCTCCCCCTCCCACCCTCCATCACCTCCTCCTCCCTCCTCCAATCACAGCGACAAAGCGACGCCATAGAAAATGGAGATAAACCGTTAAAAAGGCGCAGGAATACACTGACCTGTGCGGGGGATCCAGAAGATTCCGAGAGACCAAGAGCCGAGAAAGAGCCGAGTCCAGGCCGCGGGAGATGAAGACGCAGACGGAGAGAGACAGCGACGCTCCGCTGTTACTACTGCTGCTGCTGCTGCGCCCGCTAGGGATGATGGGAAAGAATCCGCACTGCCCCCTCCTCCTCCTCCACTGACCCCTCCTCCATCTGATTCTGAGGTCTCTGCATCAGAGTCCGATCCAGTGTAACCGAGTCAGAGATCGTCTAATACCTGCCTGGAGAAACGGACAATGAGACCAGACGAGTCAGAACACGTTTGAACTCATCAGGGTAAATGTTAGCACGAGTCTGAACTCGTCTGGACAAGTTCGGACTTTGTTCGGACTTTGTCCACTTGTCTGGACTAGACTTAACCCTAGTTTGAACTTGTTCGGGGCTGATTGGGTCTGAGGAGGTTTAAGGCCAACCAAGTCGTTAGTCTTAGTTAGAACTAGACTAAGATGTAGATGATTATCAACTTGAATCTATTGCAGGTAACCAAATTAACCTAGTTAACCCAGGTTCAGGAGTGGGCCCACCTCCAGCCCCGCCCCCAACCCCACGCATACCCACGGATACATTTACACACAAGGCTATGCATGAATACAGAAGGAAATTGCAATTACAAGTATAATTCGTTTTCAAGTTGCAAAAATGAAAAAAAAAAGTTATGATTCGTTCTTCTATGAAAACTGTGACAAAAATGTGATGTCCACCAGCCCCGGGAAATCCGAACTTTAGGTCAAACTAAACTCACGAAGGAGAGACAGATCTACAACTCTCAATGTCCTGTTTGAGAATGCCATAAAACGGCTACATCTTAATAGTATTGTACAAACGAATGAGGTGACAGATTCTGTGTGACCGCTCGTTCATTTAGTGTCAACAGTGGTGTTGTTCTTCTTGTCACCGCTAGGAGCCATGTTGTTATTGAAGGCAAGCCTCTGTGTTAAGGCTGGTTCGGGTCCGCCCTCATTTCCACCAATTTCGTTCTTAAAGAGTCAAGCAACACGTTCATATATTTACAGTTAATTTTATTATAAATAAAGGAAAATATGACGGAAAAAATAAGAGTCAGAAATCTAGCCAGTCATTCATATAGACACAGTTGGACGGGGAAATCTCTCCACCTTCGTGACAGTCATCAAACACCTGCGAGTAAGAAAGAAAAAAGTTCACGTTCAGAGATTTAGAATAAATATATTTCAACTGCGAGGGTTTTTTTAGAGGCTTCTTTTCTGTAGCTTTGGGCTGAACTTTAAGAGGAACAATCACATCTTGGTGAAAACAACTGTAGTTCTGCATCTCTGATGCATGTAGGAAAGCTATGGTCAAACAAAATCATCTTCTCATAGTTCACCAGTAGATGTCAGTATATCTAACAAAAGGAGGTTGTGACTCTTGGAACCTGAACCAACTAGATTTGGAGACTTGCCTGCTACAGGTGTATTTGCATTATTTAATTGTTACCGGGCAGAGTCCACAGGGAGTCTTGACCAGCCCTGTGGGCTGGATGATGGTGTTGACGCCTCGGTACAACTTCATCTGACCGTCTACACTGCCCACGGTTCCCTCTTTGGCAGCTATGACTGTCATCTCCACCTTTCCATCAAAGATCAGCGTGTTCAGTATGGTCTCGATGTCATCCATGGACAAGTCCACCTGCAATGACACCTGTCAGTCAAACCAAGACAGATGGTGTGGCATGATGAGAATGGGAGGAGCTAAGAGAGCATCACCTTGCTGATACCAAGTTCGCTGATGTATTTCCAGACTTCATGTGAGGAAGCGAATGAGCTGTTTCTCTGGACCATCGGACTCTGTTTGCTGTCCCTTGCTACCTCCGCCTGAAGACACAGGTGCACACTCACAGATCATGTGACCAACAAACAAACAAACAAAAAATAATGCTGATTTATGTAACAACACCGGTTAGTTTGTAACATTAAGGAGTAGAAAGGCATTTACTTTGCTCTGCAGGAACTTGAAGCACTGCTGGTTCAGAACTTCTACAAACTCAGACTCAAAGTCCTGGTCACTGTACCAGGCGCCACCAGTGACTGAGCGGTCAGGCTGCAGGTTGTACAACATGTAGACCTTCTTCTTGGACGCCTAGACATTTATGAAGAGGAGGCCAGGTGTGAGAAGAGTACTGGTGAGGCTGCATCAGAAGCAGAAGAGTTCAACTCACCGCAACAGATTTTACAGCTTTGATGAGTTTCTTACTCTCCAAGTTCTTCAATATTTTATTAATCTCAGTCAGAGGAAGGTTACTCTTGAAACGGATGTCTCTGCTCCAGATCCCTTACAACACACAAACACATCTTTTGGATAAGAAAAAACCAAAATGTTTTTAGGAAAAACACACTGGTTTCAAAATGAGTTACATTCCCTAACTGCTTGGGATAATATTATCTCTATGACTGAAAACTGATAGTATAGATAAAAAAAATACATGAACATCATTGAGTCACTTTGTGTGCTGACAGACTGAAACTGATTTAAAGCATTAGCTTAGGTTTTAATAACATTACTTCTAAACACAGTCTCCACCACAGTGATTAGAGGATTAGTATACAAAAAAAAACCCGGTCAGCTCACCTTTGTTTCCTGCATCTTCGATGACCTGATACACCAGCTTCTCCTGGTTATCTGACCCTTTCATCTTTCTGGAACAGAAAGACCTTATTGTAATGGTGTTCTTAAAACTCAAAACAAATAGCAATTTATTGCTTTTTTTTAATTGAGTTACAGCAAATATTGCTGCCAAGACAACTGTTGATAACATAATTTCGACTTCTATCTACTAATCTTCTCTGCTTCAGTGATCTTCGCATGAAGTCTGACCTGACAGATACCAAGCTTGTCCTGCATCTTCTCAGGGTTTTCTTTCACTACATTTTTAAACATGTATCTTTATTTATGTACCTTTTTTTTTCAACCCCTGGAATTTTTCCAGCAGTTCTGGGGTGAAGCAGTATAATTCCTGTTACCACCTAGGTACACCTAAGGAGATTTAATTCAACTATATTGTAGAATATGTGAGATTACCCTGAAATCTGAGAGTCCTTCAGTCGGTACAGTAGACCTGAACTGTTCCTCAGCAGATCCAGCTGACCCTAGAATCACAGGAAGGGGGAGAGAGATGTTCAGAGAAGATGATGGCATAAGTATATGCATTAACATAGTGAGACTAACCAATGAGAGCAGCTTGTTGATGGCCATAGCTCTCTGCTGGGGCTCCAGGTGAGGAAGATCATTCTGGATCACCTGATCTGTTATGCCTTGAGGAAACTGCAGACACAACTCCTTGATCCTGAGTTTGTAAAAAGAAGACAATCAGACAGGGAGACAGAACCTGACTTACTGTCCAATAAGAATGTGAATTTAAATCTAGACATGGCATACCTTAATTTTCAGTTTAGTTCTTATATCTTAAAATTACTCTAGAACAATCGTTTTAGCTGGTTTTTATTATTATTATTATTTTAATACAAAAACACAACGCAGGAAGAACAGTCAGTAGGGCCAGGTAGCCTTCGGATTTAATTTTTTTTAAAAGTAAGATTGTAAATAGCACCAAATTCAAAGTCTGTGGTCTTTGCCCAAGACACAAAGCGTTCACATCGATATACTAGTACTAGTACGTCTGCTTAACTGATGTAAGCAAAAGAAATGCTAAATGTACGGACATCCAGACAGAAGCCAGTCTTTCAGCGAAAACTATGGTAATTCGTGTCTCTTTGTGACACTGTCCAACTCACCTGTTTTCTACCTCTGTAGGCTCTGTCACGTTCAACTCCTTTTTTATCTTGACTTCATCCATGGTTTGTTATTATTATTTTCCGTCTGCGAGAGAGAAGTCCTCGCACACCGGTTAGCTTGTGTGCTAATGTTTTGAACATGCCAGTTCTATGTTGGGTCCTGGAAAGTTACTTGTCGATGTAAGGCGAATGTCCTGATAACTGCCTGTTTAAAAAGCCCGACTGCGTTGAAAGACACTAAAAGAAAGACATCGAAAATCAACATTTTACATCAAATGAGCATATTATATATGACTTTATTTTTTTAACTGCCTACGTAAACATAGTACATCAATTTCAACCGATCAAAACCGAAAACACCAGAAAGACACACTTTCCGGATAAAAGGTCCAACAAAGTAAATAAACGCGTTGGATATTTAATTATAAATTTATACATTATCATTACTGATGACTTTGAAATTATTTTCACCTTTGATGTAAGAATGAATGCACTCACGATAGAAAAATCAAAAAGTAAGCACCGCCCACAAGCGGCAATTAAAGCGCCGTAACCCAGCGCTCCTCTGGTTGCTGTGGTGACGCGTGTGTAAACGGAGACTGAGCAACAAAACAGCCCATTTTAAAGCCGTCGGTTGCCGATCAGTAAGAATTTTTTGTTTGTGTTGAAATGTTTATCATTGATTTTTTTTTCTAAAACACTTTTTTAATCGTTTACCAAATGCGGGTGATGCTGATGCTGCAGTTAGGTGTTGTACAAACTTTTTAAAGATGGAAAAGCATCGCGACCAATCTATCCAAACTCAAACAAACATACACCACAAAAGTTTGTTATGCATCTTCTTATTGTGTGTTTGTTTCTACTAAGATATCAAAACATTCAGCAGTCACTTTATCCAGCGACTCCCGAAGTGCGTGCAGCTGTTGCGGCTATCGCTGCTAGCCCAAGTTTCAAAAATTGCTCAGAAGTTCTGAATTGTTAATACTAAATGTGCCCTCTTCAGTGTAGTCTCGATTGTTTTAGTTGCAGGCATCCATTTCTAAAGAATTTCACCAAAAATTTGCAGTGAAAACAATTATGATGTTGTATTTGTCTTAAGTTAAACATTAAAGTGAAACGATATTTTGATTGTGGAGACAACGTTTGTGTGTGTAAGCTTTTCTTATTATAAAGTTGCTGTGCATACATAAGATATTCTTGATTGATTGATAACATGAATAATGTGTGTACTGATTTATTTTCGATAGATGAGTCGTCATGACAGCAGGATCAGTGTGTGCTCCTCTCATCATTCCAATCGTCTACCAGGAGGAGGAGCGCAGAGCAAAGAATCACATCAACACCAACACACCTGTTTCTGTCCAATCAGGTCAGACGCACGCGCGCACACGCACCAAATCCAACTTGAAAGTTAAAGTGCAAATGTGTGCTCATCCTGCAGCCTGTAACGATGCCTTCCTGTGTGCAGACTCTCCAGGTGTAAACATCTTCTACACTCTGGACGGTTCCAAGCCCATAGTGGGACGGAGCGTGATGAGGCGGACCATGGAGGGCGGCGGCGGCTGCAGCCACAGGTACAAGCAGCCCATCCTGCTTCCTGCTGGGCGAGTGTCGGTCAGAGCCGTGGCTGTGTCCAGGTAACACTTCCTGATAAGTGATGTCACGTCTTGTGTCACAAGGTCAATGAAAAGAAAAAAAAATGCATCAAAATGTGTCTGATGTTAATAACTGACAGAAGTTCAGTTCTCAACATCTTTTATTTTGCTTAGCTGTTTTTCAGTCCTCCAATGATCCAGTCATTTATTATAAATTTGAATGGAAATCTGCTGAAAGTATTAAATCTATCTAAAAACTGTACTATTAATAAGAAACCTCTTCTACATTCCTAGTGAAAAGTCTCTTTCACTCTTTCTCTACAGTGATGGCAGAGAGAGCTCCGTGGTAACAAAGGTGTTTTTAGTTGATCTCTTGGACTCAGACAACAGGAAGCAGACGAAGGAGAAACACCCGAGGAGCGAGCGGCAGGTAATCAAACCCTTAGATCACGTCCCTCACAGCACCACGTAGGTGTCGCACTCTTCCTTCCTGTCGCGCCATCACAGGTGCTGTCAACGTGATGTCAACACACCACCAGGTGCTGTCAACGTGATGTCAACACACCATTTGCTGGTGTTGGTGATGAGTGTGTGTCTTGTAAGGTTCTCAGCTTGAGATGTTCTCCTCTCCAGAACTCTGCAGGTTCATCCCTGAGACCACCATCTACTTTACAGGAGGCAGGAAGTGATGTCGGCGTCAGAGCCAACCTTTCGTGTTCACCACAGCGACGAGACGACCAGTCACATGATCACACGTCCTCCTGTCGTCTGTCCACAATGTCTAGTGTCGTGGGACGGCACTCCCTGCAAGTGGGTCCATGCGTCCTGACCCGTCTACTCGGCTCTCCAACTTCATCACCGGTAAACGGCCACGTTCACAGTGACACATTCTAATGAGGGCGCCCCCTGTTGGGATCCAGGCTTTTATTTTGTTTCCTATTTGACAGAAGTTCAACGCCTCAAACGCACCACAGATCAAGAAGGAGAACAAAGTTCTGCAGTACGACAGTTTGACACTTAATCTGTCTCTACACTTCCTTTTTCAGTCTCACGCTGTCTTGATTTGTCCTTCTTACCGTCTTTCAGTCTGTCCCTTTCTCTCTGACTGTGTCCCCACTCCTCTGTGTCCTTGTTCTATACTTGTCTTGTCTTGTCTTTCTCTCACCAGTATCTGTTTGTCTGCTCAGGTGTTCTCAGTGTCACAGTCTCCGTCCTTCAGACCCCTTCGCTCGGTTCTGTTCTCAGTGTGGAGCTGTGGTTCCTCCATTACCTGAGCAGAGACTGCCTCCTGTGGAAGGTGGACAGGTATTTCATTACTGACACAAACAGACAGACAGACACACACAGACTGGTTTTTGTGATTTTTCCTGATCCTAATTCTAATCTACTACAAACTAAATGTTAAACCTCACAATACCTTCCATGTACAGACGGTACACACACACACACACACACACACACACACACACACACAGTGTGACCTGAACACTGATCTCAGGCCTGTCTTGTCTCTGTCTCTGTAGGTCTTCTGTGTGTTCTGTAACACCGTGGTTCCAGTCAATGCTCAAACCTGTTTGATCTGTGATGCATCTGTCAAACCAGAGGCCCAACTATCACTACAGGTACACACACACACACACACACACACACACAAGCAAAACATGTCATGTGTCCGTGGTCACACACACTCTGATTACTGCAGGATCTCATTGTCTGTGGTGTCTGTGGAAGTGGGAATCCAGGTCACATGACCACATGTCTCACCTGTGAGAATCAACTACAACTGGTAACACACACACACACACACACACACAACGAAGTCTTGACACAATAGGCTGACTTTATCTGAAGACATCTGACCCTTCCTTTTGTGTGTGTGTGTGTGTGTGTGTGTGTGTGTGTTGATGCAGGACGGGTGTGTCACCTCCGTTCCCTCAGGACAGGGCAGGATGTTGTCCTGCTCCAGGTGTAAACGTTTAAACCAAAGTGACGCCAGGTTCTGTGACTGGTGCGGCTGCAGGGTGAACACAAACACAAACACAAACACAAACACAAACACAAACACAAACACAAACACAAACACAAACACAAACACAAACACAA